TAAATGGTAACGCAACATATTTGCCGAAGAAGACTCGCCCAACCTTGGCGGGGATATTGGAGAAGGCATAGCGCACACAACGTATCACAAGATCCTCAAACACAGTAGCTGTCTGAGTAAACGCAAGTTGGCGAGTTGAATGAGTCAGATAGCGGTCAGTGACGAACTCATAAGGAAGTCGAATCACTATGTTGAATGAGTTAGACTGGCATGATATGTAGTGAGGGATTACCAACGGAGAAATGGTAGGGCCCTGAGACCCGTGAATAATGTCAAAAAGAATCCAGCGTGCCATATGAGTTGAGGTGCAAGAAACATAAGAAATACTCCACAGTCAACGAGGCTTACAGGACCAAGGATCATGACGAGAACGGCTTTTCTTGATGGCAGAGTCGTTTCATGAGGTGTGAAAGGGAATTACGGGTAGGTTTCCTCCCTCTAATTGAATGTCTTTGTGGCAACGATGATCGAAAGTTCAATTGGCTACAAATTGTAATCATATGGCTCCAATTAGCCCAGTTTGAGTTGATCGTAAATGGTCCCTGACGCGTTGAAGAAGATATGAGATGGATGATGGAGGGGGCTGACGTTGGTTCAATAGACTGGACTTGAAACTCTGGGCTGGCGTAGCTTCTTAGCGATTGATAAGAGGCCAACCACTCTTCACATGTGATGACCCGTTTTGAGAATTATCTCTAAGCAATCACTTATTCAAGGATATTTTAGTTTCCTCATTCATGTGAAGACGATGGCTCGTTCCATTGTTTGTAGTCGCTGACATAAGCCTACTGGGGCCAACCTCTCACCGCATGAGCAACACGATGGCTAGGTACCTACCTATTCGAGCCTATAAGTTCAGAACTACATTTCCCGTAAATCATAACGTTCAGCGCCATATCTCCCGTAACACGGATACCTTATAAACACGAACCAGAAAATAAATAGCAGCCCCCCATCTCAAGTGGCAGACGAGATCTTTCAGACTCTCCATATCCTCAACAACCTGCTACGACATGGGCGAGAACCCTCCAGAAGAAGCGCCCTTCCCTCTGACGGAAGTCGACAGATGGGTCCTCTCTCAGACTGATGAGGAGTTTCACAAACATGATTGGGAGGAGTTAAAGGAAATTATCAGTAAGCAGCTCTATTTAAAATCTAGTCAACATTCTCTGCTCTGTTTCAAGCCCAGCCATTGACATTGGACAGGGACGAACAACCTCTCTGTCCTGAAGCGCAAGCCCTCTGACCTTCGTCGATATATGGCTTGGACTGCAGAGACCAAAGCAGAATATGGCTCCATGACGAATTATCTTCTTGTAAACCGCCTGCCTCAGGAATGGGGAAACCCGCCATTCACACCAAGATCTACCGTCCCATTCGAGGACCCTTCGGACTACCGCATCTTGATCAATGACTGGCCTTACGGATTGGAACCGGACATTAGACACATTGTCGTGTGGTTGCGCACAACTGTACCTACGGACTCCGAGACTGGTGATATGACACCCGAGAGCAGGGCTTTGGTCCAGTCGTTCATCAAAAAGACATTCATCGATGCTCTGGGTCCAAACGGAGAGAGCAACGTGTTGTGGTTTAAGAATTGGGTCGCCCTGCAAAGTGTACGGGCCTTAGAACATATTCATGTCCTAGTCCGCAATGTGGACGATGATACCCTGAAGCGCTGGACTGGAGAAGGTCCGAAACAGAAGCCTTAGACAGCCAATAGACTTAGAATCCCAGGAGAGATCTAATAGCCCCCAGTGAGGGTTGGGAAATTTAAGCAGCCCGACGTGCTCTGCGATTTCCTTGGGGAGCTGCACCAGCACCATCGCCCGCACCTTGGAATTCGGCCATCTTCTGCTTTCCCATGCCTAGTAGCCCACTTCCCAAGTACACGCCATATGCCGGAAGAATAAGCCACAGAAACCAAGCTTTATTTCCGAAGATAATGACGAAGATTACTGCAGCCCAGGTAACCCAGATTACGTCGAACATGTATTCGGTCAAGCCAGGAGAGGATAGGTCTTCGCCAGAGGTACGCAGGGCGCGTGTAGTTGGGTCGTACTTCGGTCGACCGGAAGCCTCGAGAATGTACTCGCAGATGATGGCAGGCGCAGAAAGGAGAACGTAAAGCCAGATAGAGCGAGCACGGAAGAGGAAGTGAGAAAAGAGGAAGAGGGCGTTGACGATAAGAGAACCGATGTGCAAGTTGTTAAGTGCCGCCGCGTTGGATTTGGCGCGGTCCTTTTTCGCTTTCTGAGCCATTGTATATGAGTACTAGTGAATACGCTCAGGTTGATACAGAACTAGGTAGCTGCACAGTGGTGATAGCTGAGAGCACGTAGTTGTTAGGCCGATCAAGCTGAAGTGTTCACAGAAGAAGTGAGAAGTGGAATGACGATGCTGATGACAGGGGAGAACTACTAAGGTAAGGTAGCAATTCCACCGATCTGATTGGTACCTCCACTTGCCGGGGTAACAAAACCTTTAGACATCAAACATGCATGCCAAAATTAACTGGTCCAAATGCCCAATAAGATATACGGACTTTACCTAAGTACTTTCGTCACTTGGGATATAAGTCCTAAGTTTTCTTACCTCGTCGTCGTCATGGGTTGATGAGATGAGGTTGCTCTATTACAGCTCACAAGTCTACCAATGAATGAGAAGCTTGAGGGACTGGAAATAATTTATTAGTTACAGAGAATAGGATTCGAGTACTTGTATGAACTTTCCGAGTTCGCGTACCTCGCGAGATCTTATGACTGATCAAACTTTTGGTGAATTTTAGCTTTAGCCGCTTGCCACTCCCATGAAGCTCTTAGATCTCGTCACGTGCCGGAACTGGCGATAAGCGATAAGCGCACAACTTTTTGATAATTGGGGCTTAATTGTCAACTAAACGCTTCTACAACAAAAGGAATCAATCTCTCATCCCTCCCAGGCCGTCATCACGTTACCGTTGCAGTCACTTTTGCCGAGTCTTGACAGCCATTCACAATGTCTCACCAGAAGAACGAGAAGGACGTCGGTGACGCTCCCGTATGTCGATATAACCGTGAAGTGAACCGCTGGCACGATACTAACGCCCACAACAGAAGAGCCACCGCATCCGAATCACCCTGACCAGCCGAAAGGTCCAGTCTCTCGAGAAGGTCAGCGCTGAGCTCATTGAGCGTGCCCGCAGCAAGGGCCTCACCATCAAGGGCCCTGTCCGTCTGCCCACCAAGAATCTCAAGATCACCACCCGCAAGACCCCTTGTGGTGAGGGTTCTAAGACCTGGGATTCCTACGAGCTCCGCGTCCACAAGCGCCTTATCGACCTCCACGCCCCCACCGAGGTTGTCAAGTCCGTCATCGTCAACAGTAAGGGATCCCGCCGCCTGAAAAGATCCGAGCAGAGTCTAACCGTGTTACAGTCGAGGCCGGTGTCGAGGTTGAGGTTACCATCGCTGCTTAAATGTGGTTACTGTCCTAGTCAGTGGTCGATTTGCTCGGCTTCGTCCTGACATTGTGAAGGAAGGGAATGATGGGAACATCAAGATCTTGCTCACAGCAAGAGTGGTGGATATAGGATACTCAGTTATGATTAATGAATCTCTGGGAACCTCGTGTGTTCTACCATTCAAAACTATGAAGATTATTGATATTGCTGTATTGTATGATATGTAATAACTTTGACTCGGCATATTTGCGAACAGTACTCCGTATTCAACTCGATTTTAACCACGAGCTGTGGATTTGGTAAGCATCCATGTACGAATCGAACTCAACCTAGGTAGTTCACTTATATGTGGACGCAGCAATGCACTGCAGATGGTTATTCAGTTTGTAGCAACCTATAAAATAAAGTAAAAGCAAGATATGGACAGACTGCTAGAGGATAATCTTGCTTTAGTCAGTGCTAAAGGAATAATTCTTGAGACAAACCAGGCATTATTTCTTTTGACTCAAGGTACCTAGCCTAGGTACTATACCTAAGGTTAGGTAAGTAGGTACCTTAGTAGGATACCTGCCACTCTTTTGACTGTAGGTAGGGAAGGAAATGTCGAATTGGCTGGGAACTTATGGCAGAGAGACAGTCTGCAGGTGCGGATGCCAGGAGCGAAATCTCAGTGGCTAGAAGGACCGAGACAATGTAGTCTTGGTACTTGAGACCACGCCTGATACACGAGTGATAGCAAGTAGATATACTTGGTGGCTGGTTGCTAGGCGCAACCCTGAGCCAATCATATCAATTCCGTCACGACAGTAGGTACCGCGCGCTTGGCCAATCCGTCACCACCAAACATTCAAAGCCTGTTTCACGCAAGCACGCCCATAACGTTCTCTGCACCTTCTACTACCTACAGAATCCCCTAGGGTCAGGCTGAGTTTGCAACCCGTCCAATACCATGAGCAACTCATATCGAAGCCGTATTAGCTGGTAGCAGGGAAATTTCTTCTCTTTCTTCGTCCCTTCTATACTTTTGAGCTTCCTTCAGTCCCATCTTCATCAACAATTCTCGCTGTCTCGCTCGCTCGCTAGGACCCACCGTTCCCGTTCACGAAAGGTTGCTCGCCTTTAACGACTCCATACTTGTGACGACCTCTTGCTCCTTTCCTAGGCCGCGACATAACAAAGGCTACCTTAGATCGACAGAATTGGCTTGCGTTCCGCATCTCTTTGTTGTTTTCTTAATCCTTAATTCGTTTCACGACGCTGATACCCACTACGACTGCGCAGCGACTGACCCACGACTGCTTTGTTTTCTTTCGATTTGGCTGGTCCCCGCCACTCACGCGAACGGCTTAGCACGAGAATAAACAACTGCTTGGTTAAGAAGACCATTGTTGGTCGCCGACTGAAGGGTCTATTCCCATTGAATCATTTTATTCCGATCTTGTCCATCGATTATCTCATGGCCAGAACACATCGTTAGGCAACTCCGTCAGCGCCATCACCGTCCGAACCCCCGAACATCCTTCTCAAACCTCATCACTGGACAGCAACATTTAGTATGGCGCCCACTCCGACGGTCACTAGTGGCCTTTTAAGACAAACGATATACTATCATCTCGATAATGCCTCCTACCACAACGGCCTATTCTTCGCCGAACGCTTGCTGGCGCAGGATCCCAGATCTAGCGAGTCTACATACCTCTATGCTCTATGCCACTTGCGACTCGGCGACTTTCGCTCAGCCTACGACGTTGGCAAGCCCATAGGATACCGTGGTGTTCATCTGGGGTGTGCCTGGGTTTTTGCTCAAGCATGCTTGGCTCTCGAACGATTTAAGGATGGCATCTCCGCCTTGGAGAAAGCCCGAAGTCTCTGGGCATCGAAATGCAGCTTAGGGAAGCATAGCGCAACCACCAGAACCGCTCTTCCTGACGCGCCTGCAGTTCTTTGTCTTCTAGGACGACTCCATCGCGCATATGACGACAAGAAGAAGGCTGTCTCCTGTTTCGAAGACGCTCTTCAGCTGAATCCTTTCATGTGGGATGCTTTCGAAGCGCTATGCGACCTTGGCGTTACTGTCCGTGTACCCAACGTTTTCAAGACCAGCGATACGCTAGTACATGGCTTCGATGTGGAATCAAGCTCTTTGATATCAAGAGAAGGATCTGTACCAATCGTTACAGATATCCCCATGAAGAAGTCCCAACGGAATGCTACAATGGATGTTGCAAGCGATCCCTTCAGCTCCAGTCATTCCCCAACAATACAGGAGCTTGCTAACGGCGACTCTGGCCAGGAAGTCGATAAGAGCGAATTTATGCAGAAGATCCAAGAGGGACGCATGCGCTATGCGACATCGACTAACAGCAGCTCTGGTTTTGACGGTATGGAGACGCCTCCAGGTACGATATCTTCGGTTACGACATCATCTCGCATTGGCCATTCCAATGAGCCTCCTCAGGCTCCACCTCGAAGGACGCGGCATGCCCAAGCTATCGACCAGGCGCAGGAGGCACCCCCACGAATGAATTATCGCATAGGATCTCGACGCACAAGGGCGCAAGACAAGGGGCTACCAGAACAATCTACAGAAAATGTGATGACTGACGCGTCTAACGCCGCACCCTCAGCATCATTGCGATCGTCTATACCGGCGGCGGAAAGAAAACGGACTATATCGGGGCACCCAGCACAGCGAACGGCAAACTCAGAAGAGCCAGCGATGACTCGACGTAGTGCAAGGCTCAACATGTTTAGACCATCGTCCAAAGCAAACTCGGGGGCGGCTGGGATGGGAACTGCGGCCGTCAGGGAGCTGAAGAAGGCTCGGCCCCCAATTTCTCGGATTGTTCGACCTGGATCAAGTGGCTCTAGTGTTGGCCGCGTGGTTAGTGGTAATCGCAAACCTCTCGAAGAGGCACAAGCCGACATGGATCACAGCGAGCTACCGAAAGCCAAGGAGATCCCCCCTCCACCGCCGGTGCACAAGACATCAGAGCTTGATGCTCAGAAGATCGAAGAAGGACTTCGATGGCTGCTCGACCTTGTCATGAAGCTAGCAAACGGATACTACTCATTATCCCAGTTCCAATGTACCGAGAGCCTTCAGCATCTTCAATCGCTTCCGATGTCTCACCAAAACACACCGTGGGTTTTGGCACAGATGGGTCGAGCTCACTTTGAGCAAGCTTCATATGCCGAGTCTGAGAAGTTCTTCAGGAAGATGCGTGTGCAAGCACCTTCAAGACTCGAGGATATGGAGGTATACTCTACAGTTCTCTGGCATCTAAGAAGGGAGACGGACCTTTCTTTTCTGGCACATGAGTTAGTAGATTCCGCATGGCTTTCACCACAGGCTTGGTGTGCGTTGGGGAATGCTTGGTCATTGGCCCGCGACCATGAACAAGCACTCAAGTGTTTCAAGCGAGCTACTCAACTGGACCCCAAATTCGCATATGCTTTCACCTTACAAGGACACGAGCACGTTACCAACGAAGAATATGATAAGGCACTGACTGCATATCGTCAAGCAATATCAGCCGACCGACGCCATTACAATGCCTACTATGGCATAGGAAGGGTCCAGGAACGTCTCGGCGCTTACGATAAGGCGTACACGCACTTCCATGCAGCTCAGAGCATCAACCCCAACAATGCAGTGCTGATAACTTGCATTGGAACAGTGCTAGAGAAGCAGAAACAAATAATGCCTGCTCTGCAAGCTTATAGCAAAGCAGTTGACCTCGCACCTCGTGCAGCCCAAACTCGATACAAGAAGGCCAGAGCACTGCTTGCTGTTGGTCAATTAGATGCGGCGCAAAAAGAGCTGATGATACTTAAGGACCTGGCGCCAGATGAGGCCACGGTTCACTTCCTCCTCGGCAAACTGTATAGAAGCATGGGCGAAAAGCAGCTCTCAGTGCGTCACTTTACTATTGCCCTTGCCCTGGACCCCAAGGTAAGCTAGTAGAATACCAGAACTATGTGCTGTTATGTTCCGTGTATACTGACAACTAAACAGGCAAGTCAACAGATCAAAGAAGCAATTGAGAGTTTCGAGGACGACGTGGAGATGGATGACTCGATGATGTGATGATTGTAATGAACATTGCGATATTAACGAGTCTGCACTTGCGTTTGGTAGCCTTGGTTTTTGGGACAATCGGCATAATGAAGTATATGGGATGTGGTGGCACTGATTCGTATTGCGAGGGTCGAATATATGGGGTGAGGACCGGCGGTCGGCGCTACTGTTGACTTTGTTACGAGAGCATGGGCATGGCACCGGCGTTTTCTGGTATGAATAGGCTTCTTAAGCGGCCTGACTTGCGCGTGCTGTGCAAATGGAGAAAGCGACTTTGCTTTTATGTATATGTAGCATGGGCAGCATACATTCACGCGTTGAGGTACCTGTACATTACGAGAATAGGCATTCAGAGAGGCGGCGAGTTGATGGATAGATACCCTGATAATCAGAGTAAAAAAGGCTGAGCCCATTGTTGCGAAATCGCGCCTCGATAGACTTGTTGTGTCGTGATGAGGCTACCTGAATAGTACAGGTTGGTATAAAAAGCTACTGGGTACCCACTAACTTTATGCAACAAGAGCTTCAACTGTAAAACGATGTCGAAGTGAATACTGTTTTTTCAATAGATGTATCTGCATGCCCAAGGTATTTCAACGTCACATTATTTGAGCAGTTTCAAGGAAAAGAGTCAACGTGACTCGAGCGCTTTTTTACCTAAATCAGCTGAGCTACCTGATGAGAATGGAAGAGCAACAGTGGCGCAACTCAATGCACTTTGTCCTCAAAGAACTGGCCGCTGACCCACTCCCCCTCCAGCTCCAAATTCTGGCTGCAGCTGGACCTGCCTAGCACGACAGGAGTGATCTGAGTTATCAGCCAATCAAAAAATCGAACCACAACATCTCTCACGCGGGTATCCGAAAGCGGTAAAGCGCTTTGATTATAGCGAATTTGGTGCCCATTTTTTCACTGATCCTGCCCGCATTTTAGCAGTGATTTCTGGCGCCTACAGTTGTTGTTTTTTACTGATTGCCTACACGTATTTATTCCTCCCCTTCTCGCCCCTCCCCGCAGTGCTTTTTTTCCCTTTCACTCTTCTCACTCCGCATCTCCAACGCGTCTCAACGTCATTTACAACATCGCGACAACGCGTCACCTTCATATCTTTTCATCAAGACTTTATTTCCTTCATCTATCATCATGACTGGACGTAAGTACTTTCTCTTGTTTTTGATGCATTCAGCTTCGATGCATGGTCGTCGGTGCTGACCATGCCGACGCGTTGATGAACTGCATTCAACACCAATCTTCGCTCATCAAGTACTGACGCTTCATGTTAGGTGGCAAGGGCGGCAAGGGTCTCGGCAAGGGTGGTGCCAAGCGTCACCGAAAGATTTTGCGAGACAACATTCAAGGAATCACCAAGCCTGCTATCCGACGTCTCGCTCGTCGTGGCGGTGTCAAGCGTATTTCTGCTAGTAAGTTAAACCTGAATGCATTTCTACATTGTGAACATGCTAACATTCTACCCTAGTGATCTACGAGGAGACCCGTGGTGTTCTCAAGACCTTCCTCGAGGGTGTCATTCGTGACGCTGTCACCTACACTGAGCATGCCAAGCGCAAGACCGTTACTTCCCTCGACGTCGTCTATGCTCTCAAGCGACAGGGACGTACCCTCTACGGTTTCGGTGGTTAAACGGTTTTCTGCCTTGCTTGATGACTCGCTCTTGAGAAGGATTATTCAGTTGCGCCTATACGGCACTGGGATGGATGTATTTGACTAAGGCGTTGGGGAAACGGATATGATATTACCATAGGCGTCATGGAAGACGACCTTGCAAATGAATACCACATTGAACATTGATCACTTCATAATTCTCCATCACTCCAGACGTCTATACTCCACTCGTGATTTATGAATTGCCCACAATGTTACGGCTAGTCTAATATAGAGAACTTGGACGCCTGTGTCAAGAGATGACAAAGATTTACTGCATTGTATTAAGTTGCAAACATGGTATCATAAGAACGCGAAGCTTTCCTGTCAACATTCAAAGGTATTTCCTCCCAGCTGCTGCTACCCTCGTTCTGAAAACCGGGCTACGCACCTCCATGTTGGCGCGGTAGAAGGGACTCATGATAGCCTTGACCCAGTTCTCATAAACTTCCGTAAAGAACATTTTGATGGCTTCTTCGGTAGCTGGACTTGTGGGATTAGCCCCGATGGCAGTTGATGACCGTGATGATGTTCCTGTTGGGATGATGGGTTGATGGAGCAGGAGAAATTTGACGTTGCCGGCGGTGACGAAGCATGATATGTAGTTGTTAAAGAACTTGTCAATACACTTGAGATACCTGCAGAATAACCAGAGGTTAGTATCATGTCGCGTCGTGTCCTTTTTCTGTGAGTCGGCCGTGGGCTACCCCTTGCCTGCCCCAAAGCCACCGTCGGGCACAACTCACATCTGACCATGTGACCACTGGACCTCCTCTGCAATGTCAAGACTCGAATGTAAGATGAACTGGTTCAAGTGACGGACTTGATCGCTGAAGCGCGACTGGCCGTCACCGCCCTGTTTAGAGGTGCCAAACTCATGCTCGAATAGAGGGTTGTCCTGAGTGCCGACAATGGCGAAGTAGTAACTCATGGTGCTGTGTGTTGCGTCCGCCGCGCTCCAGCAATATCCTTTGGTTTCGCTGAATGGTGGCGATTCATTCGAAGGCGCCGTGTTAATGCTGTCGATACTGTCGCATACCCTTCTTATAAAATGAACGGGATGAATGAATCGACGTCTGCATTGCTCTGGGCTACTTAGGTCAATAGTCTAAAGCCAGCTAAATGGAAGCTCCCCCACTGGATACCTTACCACCCCCCACTGAGACGCCGCCCACTGTATCCGGCCCTCGCAATGTTCCGCTAAGCTTCTCCGCCTAGGCATGCGGGCAGCCCGCCAACAGCCTTCCTGCGCTAAGCGTCCGCGCGGCTCAACAGCCGCCGGCTACCGGGAAAAAGTTGACGGTCATTCGACAATCACCAAAAGACTCCTCTGATTGTGTCTCCTACCCGCAACGCTATTCGACAATGTTCGGCGCATTCCGCATCACGAATCCTCTCTCAGGTGGCCTTCTTTGGAAAATCCCCTGGCGGTTGTCCAAGTTCCAGAAACGCCGCCATCGACTTCGCCTGCGAGCCGTCGACAATGTTGTAGCGACTGTTGATGCAGCTCTCGCCAAGAAAGGACAGACCCTCGAAGCTCTTGACCGATGGAAGGCTGAGATGCCCACCGAGGCCGAGATGCTACCAAAGGACAAATATACCATGTTCGATCGCAAGGCCAAGCGTTACCGCAAGGGCATTCACAGTATGCCACTCTGCTCAGATTACCCAACTGCCCGGATTTCAATGTTGACAATTGCACAGAACTGCCCAAGTGGACAAGGGTTTCCCAGCGAATCAACCCTCCTGGCTACTAAAAAGTCGATTTTGCAGAATTGGAAGCAGGACAATCGAGTTGAGGATCTAACGGAGAACGGCGTATTCATCCCATGGCGGGAATTGCAGGCAGATCCGCATTGGGATCTATGTACAACACCAATGTTTCACCTACGAACTTGAGAGGCAATGTGACGACCGCATTTCCCGATATGATACAAAACAAACGGCTTGGGAGACGGTATTAAATGCTGGTGAAGGAGCAGACCAGTGGTATGCGTTGGGATAGAAGATAAGGAAAGAAACACCATATATGCACATAGAAGAGGGAATGCAGTTATTTCCCCAAATATCGAAGGCTCTGTGTCTGAAAATCTAAGGGTATCGAGTCCAAATCGGCTGTCAAGGACAACCGCCGCTTCCCTACTGTCCCAATTACTTCCCCTCAGCGTACTCGTCTCGCTCTTCAGCTTGTATCGCTCTGCCAACACCTCCTCTGCCCTCATCGAAGTCCTCACGGTACTCGTCGCGAACTTGACCACCAGATTTGCCACGGCCAAATTGACGTCCCTCTTCAAAGCCGGGGTCCAGGTCGGTACGGATGACGCGCTCGTCGAGCTTGGTGCCGCCAATGTATTTTAGGCAGTCCAGGGCGTCCTGGTGTGTGTAGTACTCAACAAAGCAGAAACCGCAAGGCGTTTTGTTGAAGCGGTCGAGACCCATGATAAGGCGCTTGATCTCGCCGCACTTTGCGAAAAGTTCATAGACCTGCTCTTCGGTTGTGTAGAAGGATCTATTGGTGCGATGAAAGTCAGCCTTATGCGATTCATCGCTATGGCGTTACAAGCATTGTAGCGAGGGAAACATACAGGTTGCCGACGTAGAGGGTTGTGGCATTGGCTAGAGGGTCAGCCTGGGGCTCTGAAGGCTGGTCCTGGTCGTCATCGCGATCGCGTCTCCTCTTGTTCTAGCACGGTGTTACTAAGTGGTTCGAAAAGCGTGGGCAGATACCATACGCGGTTCTGGTAGTAGGCACTCGGCCTGTCGAGGCGCTCTACAGTGTTTCTGACGCCTGGTCGCATTGTCTTGTGACCTTCACTTATCGCGGATTTCGAAGATGAGGCGGCAAGGTCTCAGATTTATCAGAATAGGTAATTGTGCGCGATAAGGTATCGTAGACGTTCCTTGAGCTTCAATAGTTGAGATGATAGATGTTGGTGTAACAAGAGCAGCCTTGCCTTGGAGAGCGGGCCCTGCAGACAGGTGTGGCGGTGCATGTGGCATTCACTTATACCCTGCCTTTTGATGCTGTAGTAACAAGCGCTAAAGCTTTGAGTGACGGATCGTCCGCCAGCCCCAGGCCTTCAGCCTCGTTATTTTTCTTCCAAAACATTCAAAGATCGCGACTTGCGCTCAGCTACAATTACTCTGAGTAGCTCATATAGCTCGCATTTTCACCTCATCAGCTTCGCGAAACTTTGCAAACATCTTCGCAGACGGAGCTTGGCACTGACCTCTCGCCATGCCTAAGGTCAAGAGCTATTCGGCAGCTTGGCTGTCCAGCAACGCTCTCGGCCATCGTCTGTTTGAGCCATCATCTGAGGCATCCAAGTCTCGTAGTCTTGAGTCAGCATATTCTTCCAAGAAGAAAACTATTCCTGGTCCGCGACGAACCATTGCTCATCGAGGAACTGAAGTATTTGCTGCTGTTGGTCGCGAAATCCGTTGGGGTGATCTTGCGTACTTGAAGGATGAATGGACAAATCGTTATTCAAAGAGAGGATCATCGCAAGGCATTCGCATCAAGCGTGAGGACTCTACACAGCCATTCGATAACGAGAACCTAGAGAACGCTGCTGGATTAAGGGTATGTTCGAGTATCATGACTTATAAATCGGTAGCTAACTTGCCACTCCGCAGACAATCAAGACTCCCGTTGCCGACGACATTCGACAGCTGATTATGTCCCCGAACTCGAACTTTTTGGCCATTCTGACCACACATACTGTCCATATCTGCGTACTCCCTGACCCCTCGCACCTTACCAGTGAAGATGCTGGCCCTCTTAAACCAAAGATCTTCACGCTTGGTCCAACCACTCACGTTACCTCTCGATCTCCTATCGTATCGGCCCTCTGGCATCCTTTGGGTGTCAGCGGCTCTTGTATCGTTACGACCACCGCGGATGCTATCGTACGTGTATGGGAATTGTCTACCACTGATCGATGGTCCTTCGACTCACCTACGACGTCTGTCGACCTGAAGAAACTGGTGGACGGTACCACTCTGGATCAGGACTTTTCTGCCTCAACAGCAGCCACCAATACGGCATTCTCACCTGATTCGTTCGAAATGGAGGTGGCTGCTGCCAGTTTCTCTACTAAAGGGGCTGGCGGTTGGAACCCGATGACGTTGTGGGTGGCGATGCGAGAAGGAGATGTGTACGCCTTGTGTCCTTTGCTTCCTCAGAAATGGGCGCCTCCCCCAACACTAATCCCTTCTCTGTCGGTATCGATCGTCACTACTGTTGCAAGTATCGAGGATGATCCAGATGTTGGAGAGCAGGAAAAGTTACTTGCCCAACAGCAATTAGAATGGATGGGAGAGCTAGATTCTCAAGAGCCAACAATCATGGATGGGCCGATTGGCGAGCCTATGATGGAGATTTATACGCGACCAACTCGACCGGGAATCGTTCCTCGCCTGCAAGGCCCTTTTGAGCTTCAGTCAGATCCTGACACAGGTGATGAGCTGGATACGTCGGTTACCGATATGCTCATCATCGGCAAGAAGACAGAAACGGAGCAGCTTATGATGGGCGAAGAAGAAGATTTGGATATGGATGACGGGGATCAGGAAGGCCTGTCTCTAACTGTGCTCTGCCTCTTGTCAACGAGCGGCCAAGTTCGCGTATATCTTGATCTCGAGGGTGTCCAGGCCCAATGGCTGCCACCCAAGAACAAGAATAAACTTGGCCGGCTGCTCGCCGAAGCTAAAACCCCGTCTCTACTTTCCTTCCAGGCCATTGATACCATGACACCCGTGGAAGTGAATGATGATAGCTGGCCAGTTTTCAGCAACGACGTCACATCTCGCTACAACTTCTTTGTCACACACCATGCTGCGATCACATTTATTTCTCTCACTTCCTGGATCTTCCGTCTAGAGAGTGAGTTGAATGGAGATTCCGAAGCAGGAACTGACTTTAGAATTGGCCTGCTTGTCAACTCTCAGTCTACAAGGGATCGCATCTACTCGCAACC